TGCCAAGTGAGTGATAAACGAAAGCATGTAATTGTGTTACAAGATGGTAGTGTGTGATGTTGTGTGTGTAAACAACCACTGTGAAAGAATTAGTGACTTCTAACATTATCATGGGAACTTAAAATAATACACTCGAAGCGAAGGCTTATTAAAGGGTCAGACCTGCACCTCACCAGTCACACAGCCCACAACAAAGCACTAACACCTCACCACAGACGTGCAACGGCACCCAACTCTGTGAAAAACACCCCTAATACTCGACCCCTCAAGAATAAGAGTTTATTACTTTGTTTAATGTATCATTTTAAATTCTAGCGCCAAATTTTAGTTTAATTATAAATGAATCCCCATTTATATGTAAACACTCACAGGGAACTCTCATTATATTATTTTCCAAATTTGCTTTTTCTATGAAAACATGACTTCAATTATATTCCACGCTCGACCATGGACCTGGACGCTGATAACATCACTTTTTTCAGCTTTTCAACAATCAGTTGGAAGTGCGCGCTAAAAATTCTTTTCACTGAATAAATAGGTGCATTACTAATCTTGTCCAGTTCTAATGGTTATTTATGCTGTTTTAATCTTAGTTGAGACTTTTTACCAGTCTTGACGTCATAAATCTGTTTTATTGCAAATGTTACAAGGAATCTTATAACTCATCTGTCACAGCATGTTTGAGGGTGGGGACAAGCTTTTGTATCAACATAGTTTTTTTTCTTACTGTATCTCAAGGTTTTTAATCTAAACTCGTTAATATTAAAAGGTCTTACTGCAAACGCCGAGAAGCACGATCATAACTAACGTTTTCATGATAAGAGAGAACCAACATAGTTCTTTTAGTTGGATAAAGTTGGATGTCCCTTTTTGGATTGTAAAAAGTATATTTCTATCAATCATTAAATAAGATTTATCAATTGCAAGCTTTTTAGGTCCACCATTTTTATCATCATTAGCCTATTTCATAAATTTTGGTCCGCTATTTCTTCACTATGAACTTTTGATGAAGACTACCTTCCCCTAAATGCTGATGGATGTGTCTATAAGATTTCTTGTAAAAAATTTGCATAAAGCTTTACGGTCCAATCCTCGGGTTAAAAGTCTCACGACTCACTATTCGATTACTACAACATATATATAGCTCTCTTAGATAATCTGGGACAACGCTATTCTAAGCCCTCTTGCGTATCATTCGTGAGAGATTTTAACCATCCAATTGATTCTGAAAAGGCTGAAAAAGTTGTATCAAGCAAGTCCATGGTCAACAGGAATATACAATGTAATAGAATCATGTTTCATAAAAAGCAGTTTTGAAAATACTATATTTTCTTTGGTTTATATAAATTGGATTCATTTATAATTAATAAAATTTGGGAAGAATTTAATGATACATTAAACAAGTAATAAATTTTAATTCTTGGGTAGAGTATTAGGGGTGTTTCACAGTCAGGTGTCATCGTGCATGTGAGAGGTGTTGCTTTATTGTGGGATGTGATAGTGAGGTGTAGTCTTGACCCTTTATATGCCTTCCTTTGATGTACTGTTTTTATAGTCCCTTGTTAATGTGAGAAGTCACAAAGGTGCTTGAAATTTCACTATTCTTTCACAGTGGTTGTTTTGCATTTTCTGATATTACCTGTTTATTGTGATCTTATTGCACATGCATATTTTTTTTTTTTTTTTTTCAACAAGTCGGCCATCTCCCACCGAGGCAGGGTGACCCAAAAAAAGAAAGAAAATCCCCAAAAAGAAAATACTTTCATCATCATGCAACACTTTCACCTCACTCACACATGATCACTGCTTTTGCAGAGGCGCTCGGAATACAACAGTTTAGAAGCATATACGTATAAAGATACACAAATCCTTCCAAACTGCCAATATCCCAAACCCCTCCTTTAAAGTGCAGGCATTGTACTTCCCATTTCCAGGACTCAAGTCCGGCTATATAAAAACTGGTTTCCCTGAATCCCTTCACTAAATATTACCCTGCTCACACTCCAACAGCTCATCAGGTCCCAAAACCATTCGTCTCCATTCACTCCTATCTAACACGCTCACGCACGCTTGCTGGAAGTCTAAGCCCCTTGCCCACAAAACCTCCTTTACCCCCTCCCTCTAACCTTTTCGACGACAACTCCTATGCATATATATATATATACGTGTATATTAGCAGTTTGGAGGGATATGTTGTGTATCTTTATATGTATATGCTTCTAAACTGTTGTGTTCTGAGCACCTCTGCAAAAACAGTGATTATGTGTGAGTGAGGTGAAAGTGTTGAATGATGATGAAAGTATTTTCTTTTTGGGGATTTTCTTTGTTTTTGGGTCACCCTGCCTCGGTGGGAGACAGCCGACATTTAAATATATTTATATATATATATATATAAAAATATATATATATTTTATATATAATATATATATATATATATATATATATATATATATATATATATATAATTATATACATACATACATACATACATACAGTGGAACCCTGGTTTTCATCCTTAATCTGTTCCAGAAGGTCGGTCGAAATCCAAAATGGACGAAAACCGAAGTAATAGTCCTCATAAGAAATAATGTAAATCCAGTTAATCTATTCCAGACAATCAGAAAAAAGAATGAAAAGATGGGGTGGTAGGGGAAGTGGAATATTCAAACGGCTTCAGGAAGAAATCCAAATGTTCTTCCTTGAAGCCTTTTTATCCACTTCTCCGAGGCTATGGGTCCCACAATTTACACCAGAGGTGGACCCCAAAAATATTAACAAAAAATACATTTTGCAGAGAATAACTATAGATTTACATACAGGAAGCAATGAGAAATAAATATAAATGACTAATTTTAATGGATAAATGAACATTTAAATCACTATTACATACCTTTATTTAAGACTCTTGTTGGCGTATGGAAGAAGGCGAGGAGAGGAGAGGAACGAGAGGGTATCGTATGGAAGGGAAATTCCCCTCCATAAGGGGGAGGAATCCTTCAGCCTCTATGTACTCCTTGAATTCATCAATGAATTCTTTGGCTGCATGTTTGTCTGAACCTGCAGCCTCGCCATGCCTTACCACACTGTATATGCCACTTCCCTTCTTGAATCTGTCGAACCAGCTTTTGCTGGCCTTAAATTCACTAACAGCAGCACTTGTTCCAGGTATTTTCTTCACGAGATCCGCATGCAACTGCCCTGCCTTTTCGCAAATTATCCCCTCTACAACACTATCTCCTGCTAACTGTTTTTCTTTGATCCACACCAACAACTTCTCCACATCTTCGATTGTTTGTGATCTCTGTTTCATAAGCATATTTACTCCTTTCTATTTTCTTTGCCAGGATGGAATTGATTGTTGATTTGGACTTGCCATACATCCTGACAAGCTCAGCTACATGTGCTCCACTTTCACATTTTGCTACAAGCTCTTTCTTGAATTCTAACGTGTTTCTCACCTTCTTTACTCAAGGGCTTGCACTAGGAACTTTCTTTGGCCCCATGGTGGCTTATTTCACAGTCACACTCAATAAACAAGCACAAAAAACAATGGATTATTATGAAATGTTTCGGATGAACACGTGGAGTATTGCTCACTGAACAAGTGACAGAGGCAGACAGAGTCACGTACGTGTAAGCGGCCACGTCCCAGGTGGGCGGACGTCTCTGATACGGATGATTTCTGAGCGGAGGTACGAAACCCAGGGTAAAATTTCGCCCAAAAAAGTGGTTGAAATCAGAATTGTACGATATCCGCACGGGACAAAATCCGGGGTTCAACTGTATATAAATAAAATAATGTATGTACGTACTCTATACAGGTACAGGTACCAACCAACTTACGACTGAGTTCGGTTCTGACCAACCGGTCGTAAGTCGAAATGGACGTAATTCAAACCTTACTACTGAATATCAACATTACATTTTTGTAATGACTATTTTATTGTTTTATTTTGGTATTTCATTTTTTACTTTACATTTGATGCTGTTAGTACTGTATTTTATACTGTAAGGTTTAGGATAAACACTGTGTACAACACAAACAGTTGTTTATTTCCCAGAAATTTGGCATGCAAAACACGGTTGTAAGTCGAATGGTCTTATGTCGAGCAGGTCGTAAGTCGGATGGTAGGTGTATTTTTGTTGCACTCTTAATTATCAAGTACATGTATTACATACTTCCCTTCAAGGAAGTTCCTTGTGTCCTACCCTTCCTTGGACTGAACCTAAATTGCCTTCCAGTCCCCAAAATGCTGTATAACCCTTATGCATTTAAATTTTTTTCTAAATACGTAAATCATTTAATGAGCCAAATTCATATACCTTTACCCTTGATATACCTTTGATGAGTTTCAAGTCCTACTACTCTCAGAGCCCAGCCATGGGCCAGGCTCGTCTGGTGCTTGCCTGGTCAACCAGGCTGTTGCTGTTGAAGGTCCGCTGCTCCACATATCCATCACAGCCTGGTTGATCTAGCACCTGGTGAAGATACTTGTCCAGTTTTCTCTTGAAGACTTCTACACTTGTTCCAGCCACGTTTTTGATATCTCCTGGTAAGATGTTGAATAGTCTGGGGCCACGAATGTTGATACAGCATTCCCTTATTGTGCCCACTGCACCCCTTCTCACTAGGTTAATTTTGTATTTCCTCCCATATCTCTTACTCCAGTATGTTATGGTGGTGTGAAGATTTGGGACCAGGCCCTCGAGTACTTTCTGGATATATGTTATCATGTATCTCTCTCTCCTCTGCTCCAGTGAGTACATATTCAATTATTATAATCAAAAAGAAGCGCTAAGCCACAAGGACTATACAGCAGTACATATTCAAGACTTGAAGGCATTCCCAGTAATTTAAATGCTTTACTGGGTCTACGTGGTCCATAAACGATATCTGTATTTGTTCAAGCTCCGACATTTCTCCTGCCTTGAACAGGGCCATCAGTACTGAGCAAAATTCCAAATGGGGGAGCACTAGTAATAATGTAAAATATTCCAGCGTTAGGTGCAGCAAGGTTGAATCCACAAATGTTAGACATCTAGGTCTTCATTGAGATACAGCAGATGTGGTGCTCAAAACCACTTGTGTATGACCGGCTATAAATGCTTTAATGTGTCAAGTATTCTCCTCAAAACTGATATGAGCCCGTTATCATAAACATCAGATATATGAACTTTTGGATCGAGCAGGTTTGCACCACTTGAAAAACAAATTTTGTACACATCAAACATATCTTAGTCTTTTGCTTAACCTGTCTATCATCATTTTATTATGGGTTTAGCACCTAGTTATGATTACAATAATATTATATCAAACACTTTGTTGTAGCCAAGTGGTCTTCAACACCACATTTGCTGGGCATCTTACAGGATGGGGTGGCAACATTTCAAGCCTCGCTGCAGCCGAGAATGAAATACTGTACGTGTATATGTTGTGACTGACAAGCGAATTCAGTCAAACAAGCCTCTCGTAAGTTATGTTTAATTGGTTTTTATTCATTGGTTGTATTCATATTATAATCAAGGGGGAAGCGCTAAACCCGGAGGATTATACAGCGCCTGGGGGGGGATGTGGAAGGCATTCAGGCTTAATTCGGGGAACTGGAGCACAGATCTAATTCCCTAAATCAAGAGCCCCTCACCAACATCAAGGAACCTTCCTTGAGGGGGGTTGTATTCATAAATTTATAGGGTATGCAAACCGTTCCACAAAAAAATAAATATCAAAACCAAGCCCTAAACCCACCAGGGATTCACAAAAATAAGCTTGGTATACCTTCAAATCTTGATAAAAATTATGTAATCTAATACTACACAGCATAAGATTGATACCAAACCTATTTAAGGCTAACTTATATGTAATATATAAACACAATATTATGTATACAGATTCTCAACACTGGAGTTAGTTTCCTGAAAACTGCCGTTTTAAATTAAATTTCAGTGGTACCCCGAGTTTCGTACAGCTCCCAGCTCAAACAATTATGTAAGTGTATTATTGTAAGTGCTTTTGTAAGTGTATTTTTGGGGGTCTGAAACTGACTAATCTAATTTACATTAATCCTCATGGGAACAAATTCATTCAGTAACGGCACTCGAACAGTCTTCTGGAGTGAATTATGTACGAAACTCAGGGTACCACTATTTTAACTGGCCTGAAAGATGTATGGGGAAAAAATAGAGAAGAAAAAGCAAAAGTTTTGTTTCATAGTTCACCCAAAAAGTTTTTCATAAACTGTGCAGAGTTATTCATTCATAACATACACTGCAATCAGTTATATAAAGAATTATTTCTTTTAAATTAGCCTTTGTGGTTTAGTGCTTCTTTTTCATTATAATAATAATTCTTCTAAATTGTGGTTGATGATACAGTACAGTGGAACATTGGTATTCGAACGCTTTGTTGGGCGTGTGTAATATACATACATAAAATCACTGGGTAGTTGACCACTTGCTCGGCACTCGGCCAAACAAACACGACCTGCCAGAACTTCACTATGAACGATCTTGTTTCTCTTGACATTTTTTGGTGTTTCTTATATTTTTTGTATAAATAAGTCACCATGGGGCCTAAGAAGATTAGTGATAACAGCCAACCAAAACGAATATTGGTGGGAGAAATTTGTTCAGTACTCGAACATATCGGCACTTGAACAGCCTTCTGGAACAAATTTGAGTACCAAGGTTTCACTGTACTTCTTGATTTTGAAATGTGTGGTAAAGGTTGGCATGGTCCTACCGAACTGAGGGAAACTAGTTTTGTTCTCGTGTTGCATCACTGTAGTGTATCGCTGTTCTGTTTTATCCTGTAGTACTTTATACAGGTGACAATATTGTATCATACCAGCTTCAGACCTGGCTTCACAGCATTGCTTCTGCATGTCAGGGTCTCTTACAGTCATGAAGTCTGCAGCTTTGCCAATAGCTCGAGACATCTGGGTTTAGCACTTAGCTTGAATATTATAATGAGCATGAGCCATCTCACGTATAGCTCGAGATATTAACTGTGCAGGTTTAGGTTCTATCTCATCCTTGCTTGTTACCTTCCTTTCTTCTAACTGGGAATTGAGCTCCTCCAATATTTTATTTGTTTGCTAACGATTGTCTAACAGTTCATATATGTCTCCTTCCTTCTTATCTTGAAAGATGTCACCTGCCACTGTCCTTGGTAAATTTACAATTTCCTGGACCTGATTATTGAGGGAGAAACCTGTGAAATTATTCACCTTGGCCATAATTTTCTTTAGCCTGCATTTATTGTAAATTGGGGTTCAAGCCTGCATTTATTATTAATCAGGGAATTTCATCTCAAACCTTTTACACTCGTTATTGCATCTGCAAAATCATATTTATAAAAGTAAGTTGGCACTTTAGTTTCAGAGTTGTCAGCCACTGATGTGACGAGTTTCTACACAACCTTGCATGTATAGGGGCTCTTAAATGTCTATCACTGTTCACTCCAGTGGTTGTCAGTTACATAACTGAGGTTAATATAATCTCGTTACTTGGCAAGTGCCAAACCTGCCTGGGTTGAGGAACCAAATCAGAAGAATGCTTACCTACCAATTTCTCACACTTTTCTTGATACTGCACTTACAGACGTGGTAGCGGGTAAGACTTAGGGCATGAGGACTGTGAAACGGTAGGCTGTGAGGAGGAAGGGTAGAAAGGCAAGAGGAAATGGAAGTAGATGGAGCAGACTATTACAGTAAGCTTGTCAGGTAAAAAGGGGCTGGGCTTATAGGATCTAGGAATACCTTTCTCACATCACAAAGCAACTGAAATACCCTCTTGGTTTATGTTTGAGAAATGGAGATTGATGCTTGTATTTAAATAGGCCACTATTGGCGACTCCAATCACAGTATAAATGTGAAACCTTGCATTGTTTTTCTCCATCACACGGAGAGTGCAATGTTTTTTCTGAATATATTACTACACATTTTAATTCTGTCCAACTTGTTTGTTACAGCTGAAACCAATCAAATGGTTTATAAGTGAGGAGTGGTGCAAGCAAGCCACATACTATTACTACTACAGCATCCACATTCATTTTTTTCAATTCATCAAATGCATTTATTTGTATTATATCCTTATTTGGTGGGTTCTTATACATTTATTACAATTTAGTCAAGAAATATGCATTTTTATTCAGTATTACAATTGAGCAAAAAATGGTTACATTATTTTTTCATTTTCTCCAATTACTTTTGCATGAAATTTGTGATGTGAAAATATTTATTGACAGTCCATTGGATTAGCAGCAAGTGTACCAGTATTCTGCTTGTTGTTGGTCCCCCACCTCTCCACATGGAGTCGTTAAATGAATGTGAAACTGGTGAAGATGAAGTTGAGGAATTCAGAATTTTGCAGTTCTTTGCAAGTATATGCTACAAACACTCATTAAGCTGGGGTTGACTGTACTAATATATTTTTAAATTCACACATTTTGTAGTCATGGGGAACATTGTTCACTGATTTGAGATTCTCTGTGCCTCTAGGAATGCAACCTCCACAAAACAACATTATACTGTATTGCGAGTAGTTATAACTGGGTCATCAAACATAAGAGTAGATCACTGATTATCCAGTAATAAGTTATATGGCATATAACATTATCCATTGATCTTGTTTAGTCTGGCATCTAATTAATATTTTAAAAAAGTTAAGTGCAAAATCATAGGAGTTATACAGTACATGGGGGGAATGGAAAGCAATCATATTTGATCCAAGGATGGGGAATACAGGTTTGATTCCTTGCACCAAAATCCCCTCATATTGAGAAACCCCCCTTTAGGGTTAAAAAAAAAAAATAAAGATTTAGTGTAGTTGAAAAGGTAACCACTTCCCCATCATCCAACCTGGCCAGATAACTGATGATCTACTATATTTACTTGAAGGAATGTAATTCTGTGCGAGTTATGGTATACCCAACTCAGGATTACAATTCTGTATGCAGGTTGCAGATCTGGTGGCCATACTATTGGACACCAACAAAATACCATATGAAAGTTGTAAACTGCAAGTCCATAGTTGGTAATGGAATATAATGTGAAACAAAACTCTAAAGTGAATACAGTACTGATGGAGTTCAGATTTTTTTTTTTTTTTTTTACGTCAGTTTGCCACAGCACACTAAAGGCAAAGAAAAAATCAAGAATATTTAATTTTATCAAGTCTGTGAACTTATATAATGAATCTTGTGTGATTAACTTTCATATATTTTTCCTACTGTCTTTGCCACACATTCGCAGTCAAACCCTCCTGGGGTCAGCTATATGCAACTTTCCTCAGTCATCCATCACAATAATGCTTTAATAATTTAATTACTATAGTTTTGGATCTTTAACTTTTTCATATGCTCTCTTGTTCATTCATCCTGTACACAGCATCCATTCTTTCCAGGCAATCAATTTTTTTTTTTTTTTTTTTAATGTAAACATTTCATTTTGTCTTCCACATTTAGCAAGTGTACTCTGAAGGCAGGTTATAGAATATACTCCAGAATGTGAATATTCCTTGGTTAATATGTAATACTGTATCATGCTATCAGTACTGTATATTTCAATCTTGCTTCTTAGTGCACACCAGAAACATTTCCCGAACACATTGTCTTTCATATTTTGGGCCCTTGCTTTTTTTTTTTTTCATATAAGCCCCTAAACACTAATATATACTGTAATAGATTTTATTTGAATTAAATGCTTTAGGAGCTTAGATTGAATGTCCAAATGAAAGTACAAGCATTAGCTGTTATGTATGGTAATTGGGCCAAAAGAACAAATGACAATTTCTTGGTTAACTATAATTGTAATGTGATAGCTCAAATTGAAATTATGCAGGTAACACAAGCTTGTATATAAATCCCATCAAGTGCAAATATGAATATCAGAATATTCTGAGTTCACAGATTGGTCACATTTAAAGGCATACTCTTAGTGTGTTATTTAACTCTTGTACCTTATCTATGGGCCTTACTGATTGAATTTAGAGTGTATTTTAACCTGTAACAAATGTGTACAAAATGGTGCCACAATGAATTTTGATGTTTTGTACTAAACCTTTGATCATAATAAAGACAGACATCAGCATTTACTACATACATTATTTCACAGATGAGTTACAATAATGGTTTGGGCAAATATTTTCTTTTGAGATTTGCTCAGGAGTTACTCTAATTGACCTTCTAGAGCTGTTTGAATATTTTTTTTCATTATGCTACTAATAATCGAGCTCATCTAATCCATAAATCATTTCACCATTAACTGCAAGACAGCCAAGTTAGCTTCTGTCTCATCAAATGTCGTAAAGAATCTTAATTTTTTTTTTTTTTTTTAAACAAAGGTGATTTCTTGAACTATGCTTGGTGGGAGCCATTTACTAGCGATATATTATAATGTTCTCTCTTAATGCTAGCTTTTTAATAAAGTCCTAATTCATGAAGACTTAATTCAAAATATACTTGAAGACAGCAATGGAAGAGATTAGTTATCTCTATTTCAATCTCTAACCAAGACCTTCAGTTGAGTCAGGACAAAAACTACAGCTTTCTTAATCTGTGTCGCTTGTCTCCATTTGTTTTAAATTACACAAGTGTTTGACATTCCGGTTATCGTGATTACACTTCTTGAATATGGGGTGGGAGGAAGGGGGTTGTCTTTAGGAATAAATGAATGAAGTTCAAGCCAACATGTCTAATATTATTATATAAATAAATATAAAAGTAAATTATATATATATATATTTATGTTCCTCTTAAAGATTTGTTTACTCAAGTGCCAAACTGCAGCATCTGTAATTCTTTTGCATCAACTATTATACTAAAAAATAAGTAAACTCATATAGGTCATAAAGACAGTGTACATAAAGATATCAACATTAAGAAATTACTTTCCTTGTTTTCTGCTTAGGTGACAAAATTACTGTATCTTCAGGCACTTGAGAATTTTAAATGAATTTTTAAGTACAATTATTGTAAAACTTACTTTTCTATTGTATTGCACAAAGTCCATAAAAAATAAACTACTGTTACTAATTCAGGTCTATTATAATGTGAAATGCTTTCACCAAGCGTGGTTGAAGAATACACCAACAAGTCATAATGCATATCTTCGCATTATCTGATAGGCCCTTGGTGGCCACAGATATATGTATTTTATTTATACTTAAGCAATAAAGAACAATTTTATTACTGTATTTTCTTAACCTGCTTCCCATAATTTTTTCCCTTCCCTCTTTGTGGAATCCCAATGATTCACGTTTGCTTTTCCCCACTTCCATGTGCAAAAGCTCACTTTGTTATAATTTCACAGTTTCTTAATCACTTTCATTCTCTTGCTAATGCAGTATACACTGATGGTTCTAGGTCTCCTGATGGTGTCTGATATGCAGCAGGTTTTCCTGACAAGGTCCTTTACTAGTAGTGACTTGGCCAGTGTTTTCACAGCTGGGTTAGGTGCAATTTTCATGGCTATCATGCATATTGCATTAATGTCTCCCTCATCATTCACAGTTGTGTCAGATTTCCAGCAATTTACAGGCTACTGAGAAATTTGACTGCTCATCCTATCTGCATTCAACTTTGTATTTAAAAGAAATGTGGCATAACCAAAGAAGTCAATTTTTGCCAGGTCCCTGGACACGTCAATGTTCAGGGTAATGAACAAGCAAACTATTAGCTATTCGTGATTTCCCAATTTTCCACCCATATTCCTTACTCGCCAAATCTCACCATAAGATATATTATGAAATCGGACAAATATATTGTCCCTGAAAATGGAACCTGAAACAAACATCATTGGACAAGTTTTTAGTGAGAAAGAACCAGTGAGCCAGAACAAGGTGTCAGTAGTGAAAAGAGAAACACCAGAAGAGTTGCCAGACTGTCCTTCCAAGAAATAACATCCTCCTCTCCTGCTTCCAGTATGCCATTAGCTTTCCTCTGATAGGTAAGAGGCAGTTAAATTTTCATTTACTGTACAGTATTTGAATCAAGTTTCTTTTAGTGTTAATTTTTAGTTTTATGTAGTATTTAGTGCATTTTTAATAAATTATATTGTCATTTGGGGTCTGAACAGATTAATTTTACATTATTCTTTATGGAAAAAATTGCTTTGGGAGTCGAACTGGAAGGAATTAAGTTCGACAACCGATGTGCCACTGTATAGATGTGTACATCTCTTCCTACACTGATGTATGGCTCTTGGGTTTAGTGCTTAATTTGATTATATTATTACTGTTGACAAGCTAAAATTTACATTTATGTATGCCTAGTGGTGGGGACAAGAGAACTGATATGGGCCATAATGGCTAATCTCATCATACAGGTAATGGGAGGTGCTATGGTTTAAAAACAATAAGAGCTATCCATGTACAGTATGTTTACTATGCACAGTAATATACAACTCTCAGACTCCCCTCTCCTCTAAGTTTGACTTACCCCTCAAGCTACTGTACTGGGAATACATGATTTACAGTATTTATTTACACTTAATTAAAAATATGTATTGTTAGTGTTTTTTTTTTTTTTTTCTTCCCCCAACAAGTCGGCCATCTCCCACCGAGGCAGGGTGACCCAAAAAAAAGAAAGAAAATCCCCCAAAAGAAAATACTTTCATCATTCAACACTTTCAGCTCTCATCACACAGACCATCCCCCAAAAGAAAATATTTGTCTCTTAGTGGAGATTAATAACACTTTAATCTTATAGAAGAAGAGGGTGGAAATATTCTAGCTACATTATCCCTTGGAGTTTTAATTAGATATCGCAACAAAACCTCTACCATTACTACAACTCGCCTGGTGTGTCAGTATTTTCGTCACCTGACCCGCTTTCTGATGGTATCACCTGACCTATCTTCTCCCCATTGTATGTGTTCCAACTTGATAATGGTTCAGGCTGGATTGAAACATTAAAGTTATTTGTGAATTATTTCAGCCATGGTATCAATATTCATGATGAAAAAAAAAAATTTAAAAAGATGCTGCTTGAATTCTGAAGAACATATATGGTAGTTCTTTCTTATAGTCCAACAATTTACTGAATATATGGGATTTAAACTGATCTTTATGCATTCAATGGTTAAATAATTATTTTTAATCTTTTATTATAGAAATAAAGAATATTTACATACAGCATTGCATAAATAAAGTTCTATTAACAAAACAATAAAAATTCACAATGAGGATACACGAATCACCAGCAAAAAAGATGTTAAAACACCAAACAAACATCACATTTATGCAAAATGAAGAAAATGCCATTACCTCATCTACAAAAAAAAAATCAAGATTTAATACCAAATCACTATATAATACTGTTCTCTGCAATTAGAATCATTAATAACAGGAATTGCTTTCAACAGGTAAATTATCTTAAATTTATAAATTATAAATTCCCTGGTCACAGACCGGGCCGCGGGGGCGTTGACCCCCGGAACTCTCTCCAGGTAAACTCCAGGTTATGTCATTAGAAATAACAGGAACTGCTTTAGATGGGCATTAGAAAATAATGGCGGTTTCTTTCCCAAAAGGGGTCCATACCAGTACCACCCTAGTAGCATCCCTAACTTTCCAATTACTGTATACACAATACACTAAGTAGGTAGGACAGTAGGACCTCCGTATCTGTGGGGAATATGTTCTCAGAACCTGCCACGGATTCCGAAACCGTGGATAGTAGCAAACCGTATACGTATATGTCCTATACATACCTATTATAAAGTTTAATTGATAAATCATGTATAATAAATGGAGAATTATCACTTTTTCACTGATGGGAAGCACTTCATGACTTTTCTTAGGCTTTGACAAACTACCAAATTCTCTACTTTTGTGCTCTGGGGCCATTATTATGCTAAATTAAGAGGTATTTATGGGCCACAGTAAACCATGGATACTGAATCAGTGGATATGGGGGTTCTACTGTATCTGGAAATAAAATGTGAAGAAACATTCCAGAGAAATGTTCCCATACACCAAAGCAATCAATAAACAAAAACTAGCATGCAATTCTTCAACAATACAGGTTTTCCCCACTTAATGGGGATTCAATTTGTGGGAATTCGCTTTTATATAACAAGTTTATTTCTACCAGGAATTTGCTATATGCAGTAAAACTACTTACTCTACTGTAACTAACAGGTGGTTGCTGTGTACTTTTTCCCCTCACGTGCAATCACTCCAGCAATACTGTATTTTTTTAAACATCAGTTGAAACTAGTTTATATTACATGTATAAAGCCCACCTACTGCAAGTCAAGAAAGCTCACCTTTATTGCTAGAGATTGGTCAAGAATTGCAGATGTATTGTTTATGTTGTGTTAGTATGTTGGTGGGGAGGGATGGGGTGTTAGTATGGTCAGGAGGATGTGAAGTCTGAGCTCAGAAGTGAGGCCTTGGTTCCAGACTGGTGGCTAGTTTCATCCCCATTTCCCTTAGTTGTTAAACCAATTCACTTTTTTTTTTTTTTTTTTTTTTTTTTTTAAAGAATATGACCATTTGGTGCATGTGTGGCAAGCTCCTATTGCTTGTAGGTAGTGAAGAAATGCAGAATCTGCAAAGTGGACTCAATATGAATTTATGTGCTGTTGATCAGGAATGCATCTAACAGAGCAAAGGACACTTGTATTCATAAGAATTTTTTCCATTTTCTTAAATTCCTTTAATGGCAATGGAAAGGTCAACTTGGCAGTCTGGTCTTAATTGTCAATTATTTATCATATAGTCATGAAATCTTCAGAACTGCTTTGTAATTACAAAGTGCATTAAAAGTAAATTTCTTTCTAGTTCTAAATGAATTATAAATACATTTGTGTTCTGTTACTGAATTTTTACCTTCTCCCCCCCACAAATCCTAAATAAGGTTTGTTTAGTACGTTTTTCCCCTTGACATACGATTAATTTCTAGGAAATAATCTGAAAGGCAACGCGGCATGAATAAAGAATGTTAAGTTTCACTGGTGTGCTGATCAGGCATTGAGCAATAGACAATAAGTACAAATTCAATATCATTCAACCAATGTGCAGAAAGTCTGGAAACACTTAAAATTCTCAGGATAACTGATGACAAGTAATCTACTAATGTGAGGGGTAACTAGAACTTGCAATCTACAACTACAACAATCTACAATCTTGTGACCTACAACAACTCTTCCTTACTACTATAATAGACGCGACATATTTTCACCTTTCAGCAATCTCCCAAACAGCATTTTTCCATTATCCTTCCTTCACATTTTACAGGTCAATACCAAATTCATTTTTTAGCCATGGGTAGACATCAGGGCAGTCAAAGCATGTGTGGAGGTAGCGGTCTCCTCTCAGCATCCGGCTCTTTAGCTTGCAAGACTTGGGGATGCTGCAGACCTTGTCCTCAGCAGGTACCTATTTGAGAGGAATACATGAGGCTGGTACACTTAAGAATTTTGCATTGAGGGAGGGCAAGTTTTGAGGGCACTGATTTTGGGGGTGCTACACACTTCTGACCCCAAAAAAGCAACTGTGCAAGGCAATAGAGAATACGGATTTAGATGGGTTTGAGGAAAAGCTTTAAAAACATTAAGAGTAGAATTTTTTAAACAGTAATTAGAAACTTAAAAAAAACTGTGGCTATGTAATCAGCAGGTACATTGCAAGAGGTACAAGGTATCAGGATTTAGAAGCTGAAGCTACCAGTATTGTAGGACAAATTTGCTCATATATTCAAGAAAAATGAATAACAAACATTATACCAAAGAAACAAGCACAACAATGTAGTTTTTTATTTTCACTCTTTTAATGAAGCAGCCATATCCCACCAAGGCAGGGTGACCTAAAAAGAAAAACGAAAGTTATCTTTTTAAATTTAGTAATGTATACAGGAAAAATGGTTACTAGCTCCTTGCTCCTGGCATTTTAGTCGCCTCTTATGACAAGCAGGGCATACGGAGGAAGAATTTCATTCCATACGGAGGAAGAATTTCATTCCACTTCCCATGGAGAACTTGTAGTTATATTTTTTAACAAGTCGGCCGTCTCCCACCAAGGCAGGGTGACCCAAAGAGAAAATACTTTCATCATCATTCAACACTTTCACCTCACTCACACATAATCACTGTTTTTGCAGAGGTGCTCAGAACACAACAGTTTAGAAGCATATACGTATAAAGATACGCAACATATCCCTCCAAACTGCCAATATCCCGAACCCCTCCTTTAGAGTGCAGGCATTGTACTTCCAATTTCCAGGACTCAAGTCTGGCTATATAAAAATAACCAGTTTCCACGAATCCTTTCACTAAATATTACCCTGCTCACACTCCAACAGATCGTCAGTTCCCAAATACCATTCGTCTCCATTCACTCCTATCAAACACGCTCACACACGCCTGCTCGAAGTCCAAGCCCCTCGCCCACAAAACCTCCCTTACCCCTTCCTTCCAACCTTTTCGAGGACGACCCTACCCCGCCTTCCTTTGTTTATTCATAAGAGAGACTCACTGTCTGCTGACATTTCCAGGGCTCGAAGCTGGCCATCTGTGAGTTTGGCGTGGGCTCTCTCATCCACTTTATTACCTCCTGATTGTTGACAATCCACACATCAGGCATCTTTACCAACTCGTCCAGGAACCGCTGTACAAAACAAAAGTATAAATTTTTTTTTTCAGTGTCAATTCAAAGTGTAACATGCTGTAACTAGACAGACAATCCTTATTGCTTCACACTGTACTAACCTTTCTTTAAACTACAGCATTCTTTCCTATCTCTATTCTTGTTTAATGTCCTTCATTACTCTTCTCTTTCTTTCTCTCTCTTTCATTAGACATATTATCCTATGTACCAGCAGTGTATTTGCTATGCTTATTCTTCTATGCCCCATGATATAAACATCTGCATTTAATACCCCACCATCTTTCTTACAAACTCTTTCTCAACAAATTGAGAAGTTTTCCACCCTATCTTTAAAGAGAATCCCTGACATTTCCATCTCTCTTCCATTTCTTCCCAGAAATGCTAATTTAAAAGTTCTCTCTTTCCTTGGTCACTCACCTTCATGGCCCTCATGTTATGCTTGACCTTGAACCATATGGTGTGAAAGTAGAGTCCAAGAGGCGCCCTATTGGTATTGTAGTGACGACGGAAATTGTGCATCAGCATCTCGTAGACGTCCTCCTCGTCCACTGATGGCGGGCACTGGTCCATCATGGCACAGTAGTACTCCTGAGGTAGGAAGTCTACCCTTGTATACACCACCATAAAACTAACAATCCATCAAAACAAAATCCAAATTGCAAGAGTAGCACTACTGCTCGTGCCTAATTCTGAATGGCTGACAATGCAGCGTATTTCATTAATATAATAACGCTGAAGTCTACACAGTCTAGTTACTACTTATACACACATGTAGAAAGAATTTCCTTTAAGACCTCAAGGACACATTCAGCTATCATAAACCTACCCCAGCCTGCAGTTGGTTGAGAACCATCTCCCAGATGCCTGGGAAGGACCGAGAGGGACACCGCTGTCCTGTGCCCATGCACTTGTGAGGCATCTTGTAATCCAGGGTGTAAGGCCAAAGTGGTGGGTTTGAGAACGGAGCAGCCATCGACGAGTCATAGATGAAGCCAAATTCCCTCATCATGATGAACTGACGATTCCAGCCCACCCGCAGAAAGGGCACACGAACACCTGCAAAACCAGAGTTGTTAGCGAGTAGAGAAGGCACAAAAAGATCACTTCATGCCTACAATCCTAGTTCTAACCTAATTTTCCCACCACTTTACTCTCCACCTATCTCTGGAGTATAGCATGCTTCTGCAACTCACGCACCCCAGAGGTCCTCCATACGAACGCCCCCGAAGCGGTTGATGATGTTGGCCTGGCCCACAAACTCGTCAAACCAGTCTTCAATGGTGGCATTGTTTGTCCAGAAGCTTTCGGGTCCTTTATGTCTGATGACCAGCAGTACAACGAAGGCCAAGTAAGAGGGAAACTCATTAGTACTTTGCTTAAATTGCCATGGTAATTTAATATATACAGTATTTTGTTATTCACTTATTTAACTTCCCAAAATCTGGTGTACACTAGTCGAACCAACTCACGTGATGGAGTGTACAGCAATCTCATGGCCATCATTCCAGAGCTTCTGTGTATACTGGTAATTGTTGTACTCATGAGAGACGTAGAAGGTGGCATGGATGGGGCACCCATTGGGATTGGTTCTCTCACCATTGAAGAGCTGTGCATACAGGTCCCAGTTTTCATAGTTGATGGCATCATCGAATGTCAATGTTACCATCTGGGGCACCTACAGTTGGGAAGATGGTTTTCTTGAGGTACAAAGCATTTCATTTACAGGATGTTTTAGTCCTAATGAATGGATGTGAGCATGTGTATCATTACAGTATAGTACATATTTGCAAGTACAAGAATACAGTACATGTATATCCTTGTAGTGTCCTGTCCTCATGATAGGTTTGAGCTCATTTTAACATACCAGCCTATCATAGTGAAGTTCCTCCTCCTCCCCACATTCAATAGTTGTCTTGCCAAAAGCATTAAGACATCACTATTCAAATGACCCTCAAAACTGCAACAGCCATGCCCCTTCCTCAGAGTGTAGTCCTCATACATTCCCAGCTCTATGACTAGAGTACGGCTAACAAATTTCCCTGAATCCCTTCGCACATGTTACTTTGCTCACATTCCAACAGCATGTCAATCAATAAAAATCATTTGACTCCAATCCTATCCAACAAACTCACACAAGCCTACTGGATGCTCAAGCCCCTTGCATGCAAAACCTCCTTTATCCCTTTTAACCCTTCCTGGGATGACCCCTTAACCCCTGATTTATACAACTTATCCTTATCTGCCCCATCCTCTCTAAATGCTCAAACTGCCTTCGAGTTATAACTCTGGTAATTCTACACTGTCTTTTAATGTCTATACTATGAATTCTCTGCTTAATACTCGCACCACACATTGCCCTCAAACATGACACTGCTTCACTGCGACACAAAACCCATGCCTTACACCCACATAATCTTAGTACCTAGATACTCTGGTACATTTTCCTTTTTTGCCTCCACAGACAAAGTTCTTTGTCTAAACAGATGCCTCAACACACACAACTCACCTTTCTTCTTGTCTATTCCATGGTTAACATTCTTTCATAAATGCATCTGTCAAGTCCATTTCCAAATATCTTAGTACCCCTACCTCTTTCAATAATACAGTGGAACCTCAAAAATTGAACTTATCACATTTCGAAAGCAAGACCATTTTTTCGGACAAACTGTGTCCCTATTATCAAACGCACCCCTATTTTCGAACCGCCGAGTACGGGACCTGTCCGCTGGCCCGCTCTGTCCGTGTCCCCGCGCAGGCGCCGTGAGCAGTCTAGCTTTGTTTATGCTTGAGTGAACACTAACCTGCGATCTCATTCACACATTTTACGATTATTTAATTGTGTTTAGTGCTTGTGGGGCTGTGAAATAAGCTGCCATGGGCCCAAAGAAACTTGCTAGCGGTACCCCTGTGGTAAAGAAAGTGAGAAACACCATAGATGTGAAGAAGGAAATAATACAGAAGTATGAGATTGGAGTGAGACTTGTTGAGCTTGCCAGGATGTACAGAGGACTGTGGACAGTTATTTTGTGAAAAACAGACAACTGCGGATAGTTATTTTGTGAGACAGAAACAGAGGACTGTAGGCAGTTATTTTGTGAGACTGGGGTCCAATGACTCAAGCTGGTCCTAGTGGCATTAAAATACAGAAGGGAAGCAACCCCCAGAGAGGGCTTTGATACCGGAAGTCCTCATGGAGGGGGATTCTCCTTCCAAACAATAACCCCAACTCCCTCTCTCCTCCTTCCTATCTTCCAGATGTCATCCCAAATCTTCAATAAAGGTAAGTAAAAATGTTATTTTATATTACTATACATAATTAAAGACTATAGCATTTGTTGTGTTTATGTAAAACTGTAATTAATCTCTATAAAATGTATATTTTTTTTTTTTTTTTGTGAATATTTTTGGGTTTCTGGAACGGATTAATTGTATTTCCATTATTTCTTATGGGAAATATTGCTTCGAATTTCAGACTTTTCGAATTTAGAACTAGCTCCTGGAACGGATTAAGTTTGAAATTTGAGGTTCCACTGTAATTCAAATATACACTTTATGCAGTATACCCTGCCTATTCTTAGATACCTTCTTTTCTTTTATGCATTTTATTTTTTTAACAAGTCAGCAGTCTCCCACCGAGGCATATATTGTTAAAATACACCAACCACTCCAGAACTATCACTACCTGTTTTTAACATCTTTGCCTTAATCCCATCTGTGCAAGCTGCTTTACCCCCTTTTCATTTTATCCACTACCTCATATCATTTCCCTACATTCTCCTCTGGTTCTTTGTTACTACTACGAGATGTTATTCCTCACTGCTCAATGCATGAAATCACGGATTCCCTTTCTTCACCAACATTTAAGAGACTCGATATATTCTCTACATCTTCCCAGCACCTTCACACCTGCCATCTAAACATCTACCCTATTTGTATTTAAACTGAAAAGTTAATTTGTTCCCCAGGCTCTCTCAATTTATTAACCTGTACTTGCCGAGTTGTTAGTGTGAATGCACATACAAAAAGAGGAAAGCCAGACATACCTGGGCAGGCTCCATATTGCCAGGAATGAGGGTGCCATCGCGGGAGCAGAAACACCAGGGCAGGGTGCAGTTGGTGTAGTCACAGCGTGGAGCTGCATTTGGGTCGTTTTCAGCATCTGTCATTCAGAATGCAATAATTACTGTAAACACATTACTACCACCAGAGAAATTAACTTATTCCCACAAAGATATATTAAAGGCTGCACTCCAAGGTTTTTGTATATATATTCCTCTTCGAAGAAGCTTTTGAATTTAGCTCCACTTTTATTTCCTGTGGGACTATGTTCAGGAAAGTTAAAATACATTAGTCCTAGTGCAGAAAGTTTGCATTAAATTTATCCAGAATCTGCTGCACAAGCAAGAGAATTATGAACAAGAGGAAAAAATTCAGCCTGTGTAATTACCTATAGAAATTTATGGGAGAAGAGGTAAGTTCATGGTGTCCATGTTGTATCTTATTTTAATTAGAGGAAAAGTGCATGGGGAATTGCAGGCCTCAAGCTCAATCCAAGGAAGGGAATGGTAAATCCATTTCCTTGGAATAAGATCCCCTCACTGGCATCCAGTGAGGAGTGGTGTCCTGATGTTTTAAAATAATTTAGAAAATATCCTGGAGAACTCCAGAATATTTACCAAATGCAAAAACAGGTGACCAAAAAGATAAGATAGCACCAGGAGGATTGTTTTCATTATACTGTATTGGATGGTCTAAACCCATGTAGTTATTTAGCAAGAGTGACAGAGGCTGAATCCTCTGAATCTGCTACAGTAATAATGAGAGACTTCCTAGAGAAGGAATAAGCATGCAGCACTCACCACACCATCCCTCATCAGAGCTGTCCTTGCAATCAACCTGGCCATCACAGAAGAGCTCTGAGGGCAAACACTCGCGATCTCCACAGGCATACTCCCCATAGGGACACATGGGCTCATCCGTTGACAGTAGGGGTCTGGGTGTTGTCAGCTCTGTCAGCAAGGGCCACAGAAAAGAATTGTTACTGTACATTATTATATTTAGATAGAAGCGCTAAACTATGGGTCATAACACCTGGGAATTGGGAGATAATCATGTTCACTCCAAGGAGGGGAAGGATTAGCTCAATTCCTTGCATCAAGAGCCCCTCACCAGAATCAGAGCCTTTGAGGGATATATATTGTATAGGTACAGTTATGGCATATTTAACAAACAAATATTTGACATTACCTGGAGTTTACCTGGAGAGAGTTTCGGGGGTCAACGCCCCCGCGGCCCGGTCTGTGACCAGGCCTCCTGGTGGATCAGCGCCTGATCAACCAGGCTGTTGCTGCTGGCTGCACGCAAACCAACGTACGAGCCACAGCCCGGCTGATCAGGAACTGCCTTTAGGTGCTTGTCCAGTGCCAGCTTGAAGACTGCCAGGGGTCTGTTGGTAATCCCCCTTATGTGTGCTGGGAGGCAGTTGAACAGTCTCGGTCCCCTGACACTTATTGTATGGTCTCTTAACGTGCTAGTGACACCCCTGCTTTTCATTGGGGGGATGGTGCATCGTCTGCCAAGTCTTTTGCTTTCGTAGTGAGTGATTTTCGTGTGCAAGTTCGGTACTAGTCCCTCTAGGATTTTCCAGGTGTATATAATCATGTATCTCTCCCTCCTGCGTTCCAGGGAATACAGGTTTAGAAACCTCAAGCGCTCCCAGTAATTGAGGTGTTTTATCTCCGTTATGCGCGCCGTGAAAGTTCTCTGTACATTTTCTAGGTCGGCAATTTCACCTGCCTTGAAAGGTGCTGTTAGAGTGCAGCAATATTCCAGCCTAGATAGAACAAGTGACCTGAAGAGTGTCATCATGGGCTTGGCCTCCCTAGTTTTGAAGGTTCTCATTATCCATCCTGTCATTTTTCTAGCAGATGCGATTGATACAATGTTATGGTCCTTGAAGGTGAGATCCTCCGACATAATCACTCCCAGGTCTTTGACGTTGGTGTTTCGCTCTATTTTGTGGCCAGAATTTGTTTTGTACTCTGATGAAGATTTAATTTCCTCATGTTTACCATATCTGAGTAATTGAAATTTCTCATCGTTGAACTTCATATTGTTTTCTGCAGCCCACTGAAAGATTTGGTTGATGTCCGCCTGGAGCCTTGCAGTGTCTGCAATGGAAGACACTGTCATGCAGATTCGGGTGTCATCTGCAAAGGAAGACACGGTGCTGTGGCTGACATCCTTGTCTATGTCGGATATGAGGATGAGGAACAAGATGGGAGCTAGTACTGTGCCTTGTGGAACAGAGCTTTTCACCGTAGCTGCCTCGGACTTTACTCTGTTGACGACTACTCTCTGTGTTCTGTTAGTGAGGAAATTATAGATCCATCGACCAACTTTTCCTGTTATTCCTTTAGCGCGCATTTTGTGCGCTATTACGCCATGGTCACACTTGTCGAAGGCTTTTGCAAAGTCTGTATATATTACATCTGCATTCTTTTTGTCTTCTAGTGCATTTAGGACCTTGTCGTAGTGATCCAGTAGTTGAGACAGACAGGAGCGACCTGTTCTAAACCCATGTTGCCCTGGGTTGTGTAACTGATGGGTTTCTAGATGGGTGGTGATCTTGCTTCTTAGGACCCTTTCAAAGATTTTTATGATATGGGATGTTAGTGCTATTGGTCTGTAGTTCTTTGCTGTTGCTTTACTGCCCCCTTTGTGGAGTGGGGCTATGTCTGTTGTTTTTAGTAACTGAGGGACGACCCCCGTGTCCATGCTCCCTCTCCATAGGATGGAAAAGGCTCGTGATAGGGGCTTCTTGCAGTTCTTGATGAACACAGAGTTCCATGAGTCTGGCCCTGGGGTGAAGCCATGACAGGACGTATCTAAATGAAATTACTGTAGACTAGCTTCTTCAGAGACCAGTTTATTAAGGTCATTACTGTAAGACTAATTTATTCAGTTCATGTTCCAAAGATCATTATATACAGACTGTTTTGAGACCAATTTACAGAAACGAAGCTTCTAAACATTTTTTTAATCCAAATTAAAGAACAAACTAGGTGCATGCTGCCACCTGACTGAAAACAATTACTGTACCTGTAAATCAACTTTTAAAGAGCAGTTACTCTAAATTAAGCCAGCATAAGAGAAAAGTGCCAAGAGGTTTCCAAAGAAATAGATCAGCTTATGAACACCAGTAAAAAAAAAAACTAGATGCATAATGAGGCCATGGACTGGCCCAAATATTCTACTGGTTAAAATCATGAACCTGACATATATAATTAGGACTATGAAGGATATATCTGCTTTTCCTATGTATGCCTATTATTATTGTTCAACAAAACTGCTGCTGGTATAAAACATACAAATGAGCTACAAAATTGTTCAGAAACTTAACTGAGTGACAAAACAAATTTAACTCTTGCATAAAGTCTCAAAAGTGGTATTGGTAAAAGGAGTGTCTTTGTTACTAGTTCTGGGGAATTATCTTCCCGATGACCGAGTCTCAGGCCAGGCCTCCTAGCTTGAAAAGGAAATGTATAAATATTACTGATTAAGGAAGACTATAAAACCCACAGAAAAAATAAAGGTACGTGTATACTGAATATAAGCAGAGGTTTGTAAAATTTATCTTTCACCTTACGTGTTCACAAGGCAAAAAAGAAAATGAGCAATCTCGCCAAAGTGCGAAAAATTAACAGGTTTCCAATTCGCACAGAATCTAAAGGCAAATGATTATAGACAAGCATCAGGAATAACATTCATGAAGGTTGTGAACACTTACGGACATGGGCATCGCAGTTGAACACCTTGGATTTGAAGTCACAGATCTGTCTATCAATGTCGAATAGCAGGCCGACTGAACACTTGAACTCGTACACCTCTTCATCTGTGTAGGTAATGAAACACTTATTGGTTGTATGTGAATGTGGAGAAAGGTGGTGATGGCACTGTACCTATACATACATATCGAAATGTCCCAATAAAAGTTTGTTTTGCAAAGTACGTACTGTATCTTTCCTTCAAGATTAGGTAATGACCGTAATGGTTTCAGGGATAATTCTCCCCCACCCGATAGCCTGGTCTTAAACCAAACATCTGAATTTATAATGTGAAATATTACAGGAATAAGAGCTTAAGAAATGCACTAGTAATGTATATAGCAAAACTGATGTAAAAGTTAGTACAATTTACCTGTAATATTTTTGTGCTTATGAATCTGAGATTATTAGTCCCAACAGGGTAAAACATTTAACAGGCTAATTTACCAGTCAGTCATATGACAGGACTGCAACCTGAAACTCACCAAGACAGAGGTAGTATTTTGAACACTCTCCAAGACTCCACACCTTCTCTGGGTTGGCTGTAGGGTTGCGATAGAACTCTCCGTTGGCAATACAGGGGACATTGAGACGAAGGGCTCTCTTGTTCCTCAGGAGGGGGTGATCTGGTGCCACTTTTCCGCCTACAGTCGAAACATCACTTTACCAAACAGTATAAAACAGAAAAATAGAAGCAATCTCTTTTTTAATGTCTTTAATGTTTATATGAATATTAATTAATAAATTAAATTTACATTCAACTTTCGACTAAATTTGCATAGACGAATGTACGTGTGAGAAATTTTGTTTTCAGCTGTCTAACAGAAGTGGTCTCCAATAGCGAGATCTCTTTTGTGCATACATGATTTTATTACCACTGGCAAGACAGTGATGGAGTGAATGATGAAAGTTTCTTTTTTCGGGCCACCCTGCCTTGGTGGGATTCGGCCGATGTGTTAATAAAAAATAATCTACTTTAATACATATATGAATTAAAGTATTAATGAAGCTTAATGCCAGTGTATACTGAAAATTTAACGATCAATTTAACCTCAAGCCTGGGTACCTAACTGAAGAGAGTAGGAAGAACACTAGTTTCCACCTTAATCACCCCTAAGCCTTACCTTCCCCCCCCCCCCCCCAAGATAAAACACTAATTAACAACCCGAGTGACCACTTCACCTCCCTCTACTCCACTAACCCCTCCACCTGGTCAACCTCCCATCCCTTAAGGCTAGATTTCTCGTCAAGACAGGTGCTAGCAAAGCCTTCCAGGTGAGAAACCTGGCTGACGACATCGTCAGAGCAACTACGGTTCTCTTAACGGAAGGCAGTTGGTGTCAGCGCCTCAACATTTTTAGTGGCGTCAAAGCAGCATCAACGCTTTAGAGGTGACATTAACAAATGGCATCACCAACTGCCTCCCTTAATTCCTCCAATCTGTTCACACGAGAAAAATATCTTTTCCCGAGACTATCGAGACACCACGAGCATTGGTCTTGTAATTACATACAAGTAAATAGTCAAAGTTGCACCGAAACGTCGTCGTAAGTCTTAGTCTCCTATGTGCGGGTTATTTGTGTACAATCTCGCATCGTTACATGCAATCAGTCTCTCACTCTTCTCACTCACCACACCGCCTCTAATCTCTCTCCCCCACACTACGGTAGCAACTACGCTCTCCCCAGTTTGATGAGCACGGGTAGGTGACTGTGCAGTAACAAGTTGAATGACAGATTTTCACAGTTATGATCCACTTGGCGGCGGAGAGAAAATGAGAGCAGGGGGGGGGGGGAGATAGACTAATGGGAGAGAGACGGTGAAAAGCGGAAGAGGAAAGCGTGAAAGTACTAAAGGCGCTAACATCAAAAGTCTTCCGCTAACAAAATATGAGTGATTAAACAATCTCTAGTGTGTGCGTGCCTATTTATACTTGCTTGGTTGTGGTTACTAGGGTAGAATGCTTCTAGTTTCTCTTAGTTGGTATAGACCGGCTTCAGTTCCTAGCCTCATGGGCCCTATCATGCTTATACTGAAGCTGTGTATGGAGTCTGCTTCCACTCCCTCATTCAGGTCATTCCATACGCGAGACCGGCTTGCCAATTACACACAGCTATTGTGTAAAAATAAACACTAGAACCGCATGGGTCATACAGACCACAAACGCCACCATTCCTCACTAGTTTGATACTGTCACGAGTGATTAAATACTAGGGAGACCTAGTCTTCCAATAAATGAATTAAAATGAGTGGTGAAGCAATGTAAAAAGAGAGCAAATGAGAGAGTGGGTGAGATGTTATCAACAAATTTTGTTGAAAATAAGAAAAAGTTTTGGAGTGAGATTAACAAGTTAAGAAAGCCTAGAGAACAAATGGATTTGTCAGTTAAAAATAGGAGAGGAGAGTTATTAAATGGAGAGTTAGAGGTATTGGGAAGATGGAAGGAATATTTTGAGGAATTGTTAAATGTTGATGAAGATAGGGAAGCTGTGATTTCGTGTATAGGGCAAGGAGGAATAACATTTTGTAGGAGTGAGGAAGAGCCAGTTGTGAGTGTGGGGGAAGTTCGTGAGGCAGTAGGTAAAATGAAAGGGGGTAAGGCAGCCGGGATTGATGGGATAAAGATAGAAATGTTAAAAGCAGGTGGGGATATAGTTTTGGAGTGGTTGGTGCAATTGTTTTAATAAATGTATGGAAGAGGGTAAGGTACCTAGGGATTGGCAGAGAGCATGCATAGTTCCTTTGTATAAAGGCAAAGGGGATAAAAGAGAGTGCAAAAATTATAGGGGGATAAGTCTGTTGAGTGTACCTGGTAAAGTGTATGGTAGAGTTATAATTGAAAGAATTAAGAGTAAGACGGAGAATAGGATAGCAGATGAACAAGGAGGCTTTAGGAAAGGTAGGGGGTGTGTGGACCAGGTGTTTACAGTGAAACATATAAGTGAACAGTATTTAGATAAGGCTAAAGAGGTCTTTGTGGCATTTATGGATTTGGAAAAGGCGTATGACAGGGTGGATAGGGGGGCAATGTGGCAGATGTTGCAAGTGTATGGTGTAGGAGGTAGGTTACTGAAAGCAGTGAAGAGTTTTTACGAGGATAGTGAGGCTCAAGTTAGAGTATGTAGGAAAGAGGGAAATTTTTTCCCAGTAAAAGTAGGCCTTAGACAAGGATGTGTGATGTCACCGTGGTTGTTTAATATATTTATAGATGGGGTTGTAAGAGAAGTAAATGCGAGGGTCTTGGCAAGAGGCGTGGAGTTAAAAGATAAAGAATCACACACAAAGTGGGAGTTGTCACAGCTGCTCTTTGCTGATGACACTGTGCTCTTGGGAGATTCTGAAGAGAAGTTGCAGAGATTGGTGGATGAATTTGGTAGGGTGTGCAAAAGAAGAAAATTAAAGGTGAATACAGGAAAGAGTAAGGTTATGAGGATAACAAAAAGATTAGGTGATGAAAGATTGAATATCAGATTGGAGGGAGAGAGTATGGAGGAGGTGAACGTATTCAGATATTTGGGAGTGGACGTGTCAGCGGATGGGTCTATGAAAGATGAGGTGAATCATAGAATTGATGAGGGAAAAAGAGTGAGTGGTGCACTTAGGAGTCTGTGGAGACAAAGAACTTTGTCCTTGGAGGCAAAGAGGGGAATGTATGAGAGTATAGTTTTACCAACGCTCTTATATGGGTGTGAAGCGTGGGTGATGAATGTTGCAGCGAGGAGAAGGCTGGAGGCAGTGGAGATGTCATGTCTGAGGGCAATGTGTGGTGTGAATATAATGCAGAGAATTCGTAGTTTGGAAGTTAGGAGGAGGTGCGGGATTACCAAAACTGTTGTCCAGAGGGCTGAGGAAGGGTTGTTGAGGTGGTTCGGACATGTAGAGAGAATGGAGCGAAACAGAATGACTTCAAGAGTGTATCAGTCTGTAGTGGAAGGAAGGCGGGGTAGGGGTCGGCCTAGGAAGGGTTGGAGGGAGGGGGTAAAGGAGGTTTTGTGTGCGAGGGGCTTGGACTTCCAGCAGGCATGCTTGAGCGTGTTTGATAGGAGTGAATGGAGACAAATGGTTTTTAATACTTGACGTGCTGTTGGAGTGTGAGCAAAGTAACATTTATGAAGGGATTCAGGGAAACCGGCAGGCCGGACTTGAGTCCTGGAGATGGGAAGTACAGTGCCTGCACTCTGAAGGAGGGGTGTTAATGTTGCAGTTTAAAAACTGTAGTGTAAAGCACCCTTCTGGCAAGACAGTGATGGAGTGAATGATGGTGAAAGTTTTTCTTTTTCGGGCCACCCTGCCTTGGTGGGAATCGGCCGGTGTGATAATAAAAAAAAAAAAAAAAGTATTGCATCAGGTGCCAACAACAACAGTTGTCTTCAATGGTTATCATCTATATAATAAAGAATAAGACGAATATCCATCCGATTATTAACCGTTAGTGTCCCAAGCAGTTATAAATGCTTTGTGGTTCCTCCCATGAACACGGGGAGCGCTAAATCCCAAAGCCACACAGCGCCTAGGTGTGGAAGATAATAGGTTCGATCCAAGGAAGATAAGCAATTCCTTGGATCAAGAGCCCTTCACTGCCATGAAGGCACCTCCCCCTAAGGGAGGGTGGCTCAGAGTTCTAAGAACAAGAGTGCTTCAAACAATAAAATAGGGCATTTGGTATTTCCCCAGACGCCACCGGCCATGGCTGATTTAAGAGTTATCCTTCATCCAGCAAGGGGCTTGGGCTGTTGAAAAATACAAAATTCGTCCCTAATTATGTCTAACTTCATGAGTGTTTTATATGCAGTGTAGTTCTACAATAAACGGTAAAAAAAAATGCAATACTGTATGCACCACAGCCCGGCTGATAAGGAATAGACTTTAGGAACTTATCAAGTGCCTTCTTGAAGACAGGAGTTTGTAGCTCCTATATGGCAACGCACTGCTAACATCTTCCCTCTTACAAAAGGCGCTTTTTTTCTATGAATATAACCCGGGTTTACGCTTATTTGCCTGTTACATACACATACCTAGTCATGGGAGCGCTGACCCCCACCCGGAAGCAGGTATCCTTCAGGTACCTAATGGACCTAATAGATAAGGTCGTAACTTTCATTAAAAGGGTCCAAGGATTGGTCCACAACATTATGTAGGGAAGTTACAATAATGAATTATTTGCAAGGATAATGAATGCATTTAAAGCAACTAAAAAAAATAATCCTATTTTACACCCATGTAAAGAGGTGCTACATTTTATGAGGACCCGTAGGAGTGATAGCCCCTACAAATTGGGGGGCAATAAGGTCTGATCCAAGGAAAGGGAGGATGGCTCTACTTCCTCTGATCAAGAACCCTTTACCGACAAACATCAAGACCCCCCCTCCCCAGGGATGTTACAGAAAGCTGAAAATAAACTAAACCGTACAAAAGAAAGTGGGGAATCTTCAGTGATCCAGCAAGAACACTACAGAACTGTAACGAATGGGCGATCCAGCATACAGAACCGTAACTAATGAGCGATCCAGCATGAACACTACAGAACCGTAACTAATCCCCGATATGATAAAACAGCCTGTTGCGACCTCAGTGGCGGACCTCAAGATGGCAGCACTTTGTGAAAATTATTACTTTCATCACTGAAATTTTCTGCCATCAAGAC